GCCGTTATTGTATGAACCGGTTTTATAATTATTATTATTATAAACCGAGAGGTTAGAGTGATTTGTCTGTAGTTACCGGTATGTTCTTGTAAGAACTTATTGTATACAACTAAGATGTGCTTTTATTTATTATTTATTTAGCTACTTTATTTTAATTTGTGTTGGCCAAATGGCCATAATAAAGAACTAAAATTGTTGTTGGATCTTACTCCCAAATGTGAACAAGATAATACGTTGCACTTGTTCTTGGATCATACCCTTACAGTGCCTTGCTTTGGGCTTATAACTGTAGATTGTATTAAATAACAAAAATTGCTTCTGCCGTATCTGGTGCTGGCATTGTCCACCTCTCATGCAGCACATCTGAGTAATCTTTTAGATTATCCTTTCTCTAATAACCCTCCCATTAAATATTAAAAGCTTTCCTGACCGTTGCTGTAGATGGATTAATATTTTGTATTGTATTTTTATGCTATGGGAAACCATTGGGCGGTATACAAATAAATAAATTAATAATAATAATAATAATAATAATAATAATAATAATAATAATAATTTATTTATTATTAGCAATTTTACACAGTTGCCTGAATCACAGATAGACAAGGGAGATATCTCTGCCCTCTCTCTGGAGCAGGGGTAGGCAACCTAAGGGCCGGGGGCCGGATGTGGCCCACACAAGGCCGCCGCCGGCACCTGCCATAATGATATTGATTATTGTTGTTATTACTTGTTCTTGGGGTTTTCTTGGCAAAATCTCCACAGAGGTTTTGCCATGGCTTTTCTGGGGCTGAGAGAGTGTGCATGCATATTTTTTTAAATGTTATTTATTTATTTATTTATTTATTTATTGTGGGTGCTTCGGCCCCCCAATTGTCTGAGGGACAGCAACCCGGCCCCCGGCTCAAAAAGGTTGCCTAACCCTGCTCTGGAGCAAAACGGGGCCTCATTCCCACTATGTTATATGCGCGCAAGCATGGGCGCCATTTTGGAAGGCCCCAGTGCGCCTGCGCCAGGCGAATTCGCCTGGCGCACACGCACGCGCTGGGGGCTTGCCAAGGCCCAAGGAAGGCCACAGCACGCCTGCGCTCACACGTGGGGCAGCGCCGGCCACGGCTGGTCCCAAGGCCTCTGCGGGCCGTAGTTTGCTAACCCCTGGATTAGACCTTAATAGATTAGAAAGCTGGGCCAAAGCTAACAAAATGAATTTCAACACAGAGAAATGTAAGATACTGCACTTAGGGCAAAAAAATGAAATTCATAGATATAACATGGGGGACACCTGGCTTAAGGAGACAATGTGTGAAAGGGATCTAGGAGTCCTAGTAGACCACAAGTTGAACATGAGTCAAGAGTGTGATGCCGCAGCTAAAAAGGCCAATGTGATTTTAGGCTGCATTAATAGAACTATAGTATCTAGATCAAGGGAAATAATAGTGCCATTATATTCTGCTCTGGTCAGGCCCCACCTGGAATACTGTGTTCAGTTCTGGGCACCACAATTCACGATGGATGTTGAGAAACTGGAGCGTGTCCAGAGGAGGGTGACCAAAATGGTGAAGGGTCTGGAAACCATGAATCCCTATGAGGAATGACTCAGGGAGCTGGGTATGTTTAGCCTGGAGAAGAGATGGTTAAGAGGGGATATGATAGCCCTCTTTAAATATTTGAAGGGATGTCATATTGAGGAGGGAGCAAGCTTGTTTTCTGCTGCTCCAGAGAATAGGACATGGAGCAATGGATGTAAGTTGCAGGAAAAGAGATTCCACCTTAATATTAGGAGGAATTGCCTGATAGTAAGAGCCGTTTGACAGTGGAACAGACTGCCTCCAAGTGTAGTGGAGTCTCCTTCTTTGGAGGTCTTTAAACAGAGGCTGGATGGCCATCTGTCCAGGGTACTTTGATTGTGAGTTCCTGCATGGCAGAATGGGGTTGGACTGGATGGCCCTTGGGGTCTCTTCCAACTCTATGATTCTATGATCCATTGATTTCAATGCAAGCGCCAATTTCCAGCTCCAGCTTCCCAACCCTCTTGGCAAATAACCACTTTGCTTGCTGCTTCCTCATTCTTCTGCTCAAAGGTCTGTCTGACCACAGTCACAAGTTCAAGTCAGGCAGGAATTCCCCCCACAACATCCGCTTGAATTGCCTCCAGAGAGAAGTGAACTTTTCTTCCTTTGGTTATGTTGTATATTTCTCACTAGGGACCCTAAAGGCATCAGATCTGTCTGGTCTTGGATGCTAAGCAGGGTCAACTCTGGTTGACCACTTGGATGGAAGACTACTTGGATGGAAGACTGCCAATAAATACCAGGCGCTGTGAGCTAGATTTCAGAGGAAGGAGCTGGGTGATCCTGGGCAAGTCACACTTTCTCAACCTCAGGGGAAGGCAATGGCAAACCACCCCTGAACAAATCTTGCCAAGGAAACCCCATGATAGATTTGCCTTAGGGTCACCATAAGTTGGAAATGACTTGAAGGAAGGCAACAACAACTGGAAAAACTACCTCTGAGTATTCCTTGCCTAAGGAAACTCTGTGAAATGCATGGGTTCACCATAAAGTCAATAGGCAACTTGGAGACATATACACAGATATTGCTCACAGTAAGGGCTCTGAGAAGCAAAATCCACTCACTAAAGCATACTATGATAGGGGACATTTTGCTTAAAGATAAAAAGGGATGGAGTTGGGGGACTGGGGAAGATATCAGCGTGATAGCTACTTTTATTTTTATTGTATGGCTGTAGTGCTGGGCTGGACAAAGGACGTTATCACACGGGGGCAAATCTGCTGGTTAATCCACAC